CACACACACACACACACACACACACACACACACACATACACATACACATACACACTCACATACACACACAAACACAAACATCCCCTCCCCCTATCTCACTGTCTTTTCATTCATTATTCGATTAACACAACTAATATCTAGCAGTGAAAATGTGTCGGGAAAACAAAATTACTAAAAAAAAACAAAGCGAGACAATAACAAAATCATTTGACTAACAGACGTTACTTCATAGAGGTTAGTAGAACAGCTGTCAAAACAAAATTAATGACATTAAACTGCGCTTTGTACACTCACCGTAGTTCCCTTTGGAATAACGTAACCGTTCAAGGGGATGTCTTCTTTCACCAATCTCAGGAAGCCGAGTGGTAGCTGAGAGATGTATCTGATGGTATATTATATTTTAATATTTGGTTGCAGCATTCTTTCCTGAACTTATTTTACAATTCATTTCTCGTCAAAGATTGATTTCGCTCACAACGAAAACGCACATAGTAAACAGATTTTCAGGTCCAGTATATTTTCTTACACAAGTACAAATATAATATTCTTTGTATTTAAAGCACGTTCGTACCGAAATTCATACATAACGAAAGAACTTACGCTTCTATGTGTGTGCTAAACTATAGCCTAAATCCCTGAATTTATGGGTAGCTTCCTTTTTCTAATGTTAGCACTGGACAACAAACACATAACATAATATACCCTGGAAGGTTAAATATAACTTCTTTTCTTCTCAATACTCTTCTGGGTGTCATTAATTTTGAATACTGTTCAAAATCAAAATCGTTGAAGTCAGTAGTAGGGGGACGAGACCACCTATTAAATGATCTAAATAGCGTCGATGGTGGCGTACAAATTCTACAGCTTTTTAACGTTTACGATTTTAAAAAATAATAAAAAATCCCTTTACAAAAATGAAAACCTGGGAACAACAACAAGTGTCGCATTTTCCTAAAAATAGAGTTTTGCATATCATCCGAAAGCGGCGACTTACTAATCGAAACTTACTTGAACATATTTCGCGAATGATGTTTTTGCTTATTTTTTTCAAAACCATCTAAATGTGACTTGAACTTGGTGTTCTCAGGTTTTCAAATATGTATAAATAACCAAGTTATGCTTCTTTCTTCTTTCTTTAAACAATGCTTTAAAACAGTGAGTCTTCAAACGCTGTTCAAAGGCTAGAATGCATGTCCTCAAAGAGTTAAATAGTTGAGCTTCAAGAAACAAGAGGAAGTTGCTAACCTCTGCATCTCCAATATAAAGGCCTCGGTATAGTGCATGTCCTTTCTGTCCTCCACACGGGGCTGGCGGTCTCCGAGGACGCGGTCTATCTCTTCCTGAATGTTCCTCATCACCTCCGGGTAATGACACATGAGAAGGAAGGAAGACAGGAGGCTTGATCTGGTCGTCGTATGGGCTGTACAGATGCATAATTGTGATACTTGTGATACTGACCTCTCTCTCTCTCTCTGTCTCTCTCTCTCTCTCTCTCTCTCTCTCTCTGTGTCTCTGTCTCTCTCTCTCTCTCTGTCTCTCTCTCTCTCTCTTTCTCTCTCTCTCTCTCTTTCGCTCTCTCTCTCTCTCTCTCTCTCTTTCTCTCTCTCTCCCTCTCTCTCTCTTTCTTTCTCCTCCCACCTCTCTCCCCATTTCTTTCACACACACTTTCTTTCTCGTTTTCCCTCAAGAATGTTTTGGAGACCCCACATTTACAACGTGCCAATATCTTCTTTTTAGATACGCTTTCAGTTGAGCCAGCATTATTGCAAAAGGAAGAGACGTAACACAAACTTTTATTGAGATACAGGAAAGCCACACAGAGCATTATTTTGAGACAAATACAGCTTATTTTGCGTTTTGTCTGCTTTTGAAACCCCCAACATTCTGTCTGAACCTTGACTTCCGACAGTTTGAGAAGAAACATGTGATTCAAAATGCCTCGGCTCTGTCAGGACCAATAATTCCGGGTGGGCCGTACTGGATCAACACATGATGAACAGTAGTGAAGTAAACTTGAAAAACAACAACAAATAAACAATAAACAAAAAACAAAACCCAAACACAACAATACACTGTGGTATCCCAAAAAAAAGCAGAAAATCCTAGTTGTAATTTCATTAGCAAAGGTGAAAAGATCAAACAGGTCCAATAGTTTAAATATCTAGGATGTATGATAACATCAGATGCCAAATGTTCCTCAGAAATAAAAACGGAAAATTACAATGGCTAGGTCTAGTTTCAATAAAAATGAGCCCAATCCTGAAAAATAGAAACATCTCAATAACTACCAAAATAAAAGTTCTGAAATGATATGTATGGTCAACCCTTCTATTTGGCTGTGAATGCTGGACAATCACTAAGGACAGTGAAAATAAATTGCTATGAGTATCGTGGAAGGAAAAGAAATCAATGAATGAGGTAGTGCTTGAGGAAGCCCACGACGTGGGGCGCTCACTGTTAAAACAATCAGGAAACGACAAATGCAGTATTTGAGACACCTGAATAGACATAAGGGTCTTGAACATTTAGTTCTCACTGGCAAAATTGAAGGCAAACGAAGCACAAGTAGGCCCAGAACAACATACGTAGGGAACCTAAACAAATGGGTAACAGGGAAAGATCAGGGATACATAGCTTTTTAAGAGCATCCGAGCAAAGGAATGAATGGTGAACAATGATCGCCAAAGTCTGTTGCAGACCTGGCACTGAATGATGATGATGATGACACTGTAATATTATGTAAAAGGCAATGCATACAATTAAATTCCCCATATCTCTTCTCAGAGTATGTAAATGAACATTTACAATGTACGAGGCATTATAAAGTATTACGACAATTCTGACTTCATTATCAAGTGCCAGATCTGCGACTGGCATCGGCGATCATGGTTCTCCAGTCAATCCATTGCTCGGATACCCTTAACAGAGTTACATAATATCCCTGTTCTGTCCCTGTCACCCATCTGTTAAGATTCTCCAGGAAGTTCCCTGCCTCGTTTGCCTTCAATCTAATTCTGACCTGCTGGGAAGATATTACTGACTGTTGTCTCTTGTCCGAGTATGTAATTGAAGAAATACAATGTACGAGATGTTACAAAAATATAACGACAATTCTGACCTGCTACGAAGATATTACTGAGCATGGCCTTGGCGTGTTCATCATCCTTAAGAAACTCGTATCCTGGCTCATTTGCTTGTTGGAGAAAGATGTCGACGATTCCCCGAATCTCACCAGGAACGTATGTTTTCTGGAAACAAGAAAGTCGATCTCTTAACTCTTTGAAGGCGTAGCTTACTCATACGTCCGATTAGTAGCAGACCAAAGGGGTAATGTTGCGGTACATTTTGAACCATCATGCACAAATCAAAAACACGAATTTGCATTTTTGTTGTTGTTGGTATGCGTGTTGTTCCTTGCCATTCTAAAACAGAACTGAAAATTCCGCATGAATAACAAGGGAATGCTCCTTTTAAAAAATGCTCAAAAACAGCAGGTCTTTAAGGTCGTATGTTATATTTAATACTAGAGTTCGTGGCAGTGATGAAACCCACGTAAACGAACTGGGGCTGTGTGTGCCCTCCATGGGAAGCTGAACCTCAAGGGCAAGACATGCGCAGTTCAACACACGGGTGAGTACTTTTTTGGACTCACGTGGAGGCGTCGCAAAAGTGTAAGAGCTTGTCTCCCTAAGCGCGACTCGACGTAACGTCCCGTCAGGTCCTTGCCGCTCTAAAATCAATCAAGTGATATTATAAAGACACCGTCTCCTAATAATAATAATCCCACTACGGATATGATCGGGCCGATCGTCAGACTCGATCGCCTCAAAAACAAACGTGTTTGTTTTCAGTTTCAGGCGATCGAGACGGGCGATCGGCCCGATCCAGCCGTAGTGGGCACCCCGTACGACTGTCTCGTCCGATCGGTTCATGTAGCAATCGAAGGTCTCGTCGTGTTCGACGGACTGGGGGTGTGGCAAGTTTAGAGCATCACCATTGGTCCAAATATCTAGCTAAGGAGTGTCGATCGACACGCCGTGTGTGTTGAGCATGTGTGTGTGTATGTGTGAGTGTGTATGTGTGTTTGTGTGTGTGTGTGTGTGTGTGTGTGTGCGCGCGTGCGTGTGAATGTGTGTGTGTGTGTGTGTGTGTGTGTGTGTGGTTGTGTGTGTGTGTGTGTGTGTGTGTGTGTGTGTGTGTGTGTGTGTGTGTGTGTGTGTGTGTGTGTTGGTGAAGGCAAGGCTCGAGGCAAAAAATAACTTGCTACTTTCAGTCTGTTGTGAACTGCCAGTCGCGCATGGGATTTACCACTCGCGCGCGACACCTTTTTTAGTTTTTAGTTTTAGTAGAGGTTTTACGGTGTTCGCAACTGCATCAGGTCATATGGGCACCAGAAGACTAGAGGTGTTACAAGACAGTAACAAACATAAAAAAGAAGTAGGGGAGATAAGGACGATAGATGTTTCATAGGAAAGAAGAACCAAACCACACTAGAGCACCCGCCAACAACCCACAGACACCTTTTGTCGCTTCTGTCGCACGCGACTGAAAACAACATCGCGCATTAATACGGGGTGCACATTACTGTTGGATCGGGCCGATCTCCCGTCTTGGTCGCGTGAAACTGAAAACAAACACGTTTGTTTTAGAGGCGACCGAGTCGGGGAATCCCATCCGTAATGGACACCCAGTATAAGGATACACACCTCGCGACTGATTGCGAGCGACTGTCGAGCGCAACTAAACGTCGCGTAACGCATGAGGATGCATAGGTTAAAGTACTACAACTCGTGGGGAACAGGGTAGGGACTCAGATTGTTCATGTAAATGGCAGCGCGCCGGCTATGCCTATGAGGGTAAGAAGGGCCCCATGGCTGACACGTGTGACGTCACTACCGCGAGCTCTAATATTATATTACAACCTCTTTGTTGCGGAATGACTAGAAAGCAAGCGCGTCCTCGAGGAGTTAAACAGGGGTGTCAAACTCAACTGCACGAAAGGCCAAATTCAAATGTGCTTAGACTTGAGGTTGAGGGCCGAACCAGATCATGGAACAGCGTACAAACGACCACCCCTCTCCCCCACCTTGAGTTGTTAAGAATATTATAATGACACTGTCCAAGAAGTCCACCTATCAAGACAAGTGTTTTTGTCTTCGGTAACTTGTGGAAACTTCGATTGTATACATACATAATATAGTTTTAAAATCGACTTTAAACGCACAAAAAAAGAGGAAAAAGCGCTTTCGAAACAACTTACTCTGACGTGGTAAAAAGTTTTCTCTTCAGTTATTTTTCTGGTTGTCGAAGCGCGGTCACACATGGCCTTGAACTTCCCGAAATGTCGCATGAAGGGCAGGTAGGTTAGGATGGTCTGGTTGTCAACTGGGAGGACAAAGAGGGAAGGGAAAGGGACCGTTAGATTCCATTTGGGCCCTGCGCCCAACTCGCTTTTTAAAATTTTGTTTTGGCTAATGTTTTACGGCGCTGGCAACTGCATAAGGTTATATTATGAGCGCACGTACCCAACTCCATTTTCATGAAAATATGCTCCTGAGTTGTGAATGTGAAACAGCGCTGTTTGTTTTTTCTACTTATTGTACCATCAGAAGTTTGCAAGCACTAGTTTTATACGTGGAACTCTTAGTGGCGTCGGTAGCCTAGAGGTTAGGCTCTCGGACTCGCAACCGTAAGGTCGTGGGTTCGAATCCCGTCAGGGGCTCGACGTTGTGTCCTTGGGAAAGGCACTTTGCACAAATTTTCCTCACTTCACCCAGGTGGAAGTGGGTACCCGGCTATAGACAGTGAAAGATCTTGTCAGTTTGATAGTGTTTGAACGCGTGAAATCTGCAGCTTGCACTGTATGCTTCCGCGGAAGCCGAGAATGTTTCCGAGTGTTCTCAGAGGGTCTGCTAAGGTAATAATAGTTGTAAAGCGCATAGAGAAAGCTCACGGGCATGGATATGCGCTATATAAATGCTATTATTATTATTATTATTATTATTATTATTAT